GAAATGGGGGTTTTTTTTGAAAAATCATGTTTTAGTTTCGGAATAATGGACGCCTGTTGTAAACTTTGAGCTTCTTAATGGAAATTTGAATTCGGGAGGTAAGGTCGGGTCAGTAGTCTTTTTTTGAGTTCCTATCGTGGACAACACAGATTTTATCTCTGGTCCAGTACTATAGGGTGCAAATCGAATATTGCAGTCAGCGAGGTCAACAAACCACAAGTTGATTTTGGCTATGCATAGGTTTGCTTTTGCTGTGTCTGGCGAATTCTAGGATGGCTGCATCTCGCAGCCACTTTGTGCGAAAAGCCTTTCTCATTTTAATAAATCACAAGCAAACTCTGACAGTGGAAGTAAACTTGCGAGGAGGTGACGCCGCCATGATTCAATGCTTTTCATAACAGGATGGATGGTTTGGGTAAGGCTGAAGAGACAGTGACATGTGGGAAAGATCATTTTTTGTACTTCACTTTCTGGAAAATTTGAAAGCATTTGTTTGTGGTCCGGGTTTTGGCGATTCCACTGGCATTGTTTTTCTTTCTGTGCATTTCTCTCGTCATTTGGATTGCATAGCACCACATCTTCTAAAAACATTTAAAACTGGTCTTTTATGTGCCTCCTTTATTTTCCTCTGATAATTAGGCACGCAAATTACAGAAGCTGTAAATTCTAATGATGTGATTTTTGACTGAAACAGCACCTAATCTCAGAAATGTGAGCAGAACTGCTGCGTTGAATTTAATTTTCAGGTCTCTGTTGTCCAGACCTCTCACCTCAGTTCAAAATTTCCGAAAATTATCGCATTATTTTAGGCTTTGATATAAAAGCGTGTTTAACATGTTCTCATGTTTTTTTCGGAAAGATTTTTGTTGGAATATCGTTCGTTTGCAGGAAATTCCGCCAATTGAGAAGGAATTGATGTGTGGTGACACAGGTCTTGGTGCAATGGCAACGGTACAGATGGTGGCATCGATTTTAGCTAGTGAAGTGAAAAATCGTTTTGCTGTCTACTCAGACCATTCGAAGCTAACAACATAGTGTTTTTCTTTTTTGTCTGGTTTTGCAATGTGATTGATTCATGTTTTTTTATCTTATCTTAACTGTATTTTTATTTCTTTTTTTTTTTACTTGACATTTTACACTTCTTACATTTTTATGTTCCTAACAACGCCTATTCGGCGATTTTGGCGCTGTGCATCTTAATCAAGCAAAACGGAAAAAAGTCTTAAGAAAGAAACCACTGCTAAGTGCATAGAATTTGGGAGTGTATGCGCTTGTGAATCAGTGACGCGCCCAATCTCTGACAGACAAAAGCGCTTCACAGTTTTGGCACGCATTCGTCTTCTGGCCAGCGTGTGTGATTTTCATCATTCATCAGTTCATTCTTTTTTTTTTTCTGACAGATCTTTTGTTTAGCTGTCGTTTTTCGTAATTCTTTGCCTTTTTCCCCACAGTTATATGTATTCTTTAATCCAGCTGTGATATGATTACTTTTTTACTTCCTGCTTGACCATCTACCCATGCGGTCTTGTTTTTTTTTTTTTTTTTTCATTTTCTCATCGTTTGCCGACAGTTCGTATCTCACTCTCCTTCGAAACAGGATGAAATTCGGAGTGAGTTTTGAGTTGCAAATTCCTAGGCTGCTGAACGCAGGCCTATGTTTCGATGCAGCATTGACATTCTGTCGAACAGAATGCTTATGCCCTCACTAATCCATTTTCAAGTATCACGCTCGTACCAGACAGATGGCGTGCTTATTGTTTCATTTATATTTGCTAGCAAATTTGTTGAAAATAAAATCACTTGCAGCAACCGGGGCCTTGTCATTTCACAGCAGATATCTGAATTTATAAGCACATACCATGCTTATCTCTTTTCCCCTGACAAAGTATCACTTGCGCAGTTGTGTCTGAGCTCCGAATTGTGCCAGTGCGCGGTGCCGACAGTGAAACTGATGCCTTGCAGTTACGCGTGCGCGATTTTGCTGGCATCTGCTGGTCAAAGCAGCGCTCCTTTTTGCGCAGTGGGTGACCGTAGATGTAATTGGAATTAGGATTTTCAGGTTGTCCCTTGAAATGTGGCTATTTGGATACGGTTCGTTGTTATGGTACACGGATTTCCCGTATCGCAGAGTTGTTGCTGGTGTGGTGCACGGATATTCTCGTCGGTTTTGGCAGTTAAGCCCCGATCATCGAGGCACACCCAGCAACGTATACATAAATTCCTTTTTTTTTTTTTTCACACGTTTCTTTCACAATTTTCTGTTGAAAAAGCGCTACTGGTAGTGATGTTCGTAGGCAAAATTCGTTCATTGGTGTACGGTAAGCAAGCGCACTTTTGCTGCCCGACTTGTCTGGAGTGCTATTCCGTGTTTCTTCATTTGAGTGTGGTTTGCTGGGAGCGTTTCTGATGTCGTCTGCAACAACCTGCATCTCTGCTTTCCTTTCATCGAGTTCTAAGAAATTTTGCATGTCTTGTTAATTTACACGTTGCTCGGCTTCGCTCCGTGCCTTCGACAGTTTCGGTTTCTTATCAGTGCAAGGGACAGGTGACAGATAAACGTTTTCAATTTCCTAGGCTATTTTCCTTTCCGACCGTTCTTCTGCCGTACGCATACTAACTCGTTCTATCGTTCAGGATTATGGCAGAAAGTTGTCGCTTATGGATTTAATTTATAAATTTACTTTTTAGTAAATAATCTGGCACGATGCATTGCAGCCCGGTCGTACTGTAACACTGGTGGAGGATAAGGATGGATCTTGCTGGGGCTTAGCATATGATGTAGCTGAAGAACATGCGTCGGATACAATCAAATATTTGAATGAGCGCGAAAAAGCGGGCTATTTGGTAAGTCTGGTAGAGGGAGCTTTTGCCGATCATTAGGCGAATTTTCGTATTCGAACGCCATAATTATCCCCGTGATTTATTGCCCGTTTTTTTTGAGAATCGGCAAAGGTCTGATATTTGGGTGATATTCACGAGATGTTGCCTCTTACTCTTGCCGCATGATCAGAGCAGCTGTTCCTGTCTTGATAATATACACACGCCAGACTCGACCTGCGTTACTTCATTAGAGACGTGCCTGCGTCATTTCATTGTTTGTTGCGCTGCCGCTACGTTTTTCTCCTCCGCAAGCACAGAATTCCATGTTTCACTTCCGTTGCACTGAACCGAATTGATGAATGTTGCTAACACGGTTGGTTCTCTGTAAATGTGGGAAACGGCGTCTCGTAATTTTGATGAAGGTGGCCTGGATTTCTCCAGTCATGCTGTTTTTTGATATCATTTTACTGTTCTTTTGAAGCATCTGTTGGAAGAGTGATTGGTCGCACCAGTTTCTGGTCTGCACCATTACCTCTTTTAATTTCAGTTTCCGTACCAATAATTCCAGAGGAAGGAAGTGGAATTTCATCCGGATGATGGTAGCCCATCTTTCTATGTCAATGTATATCTGGCTGCGCTGGAACAGAACCCATATTATACGGGCCCGACCGATGACAGCGACGTTGTAGAAACTGTAAATCTTTTATAAAATACAAATTAAAAATAAATAGGCATATACAAAGATATGCATATATATATATATATATA